AGGAAGTTCTCTTAAAGAAGGGGTTCTCAAACTGTGGATGAGGGTCCAAAAAGGGGCACGTTTCAGTGCAGTTTGCTTGGCTTTGTATTAGGTAGATCTTTATGACTTGGTCATTTTGTAAGTAGCTCGTATGCTGAAAAAGTGTGAGCACCCCTGCTTTAAAAGAATTAGTAATGCATGTGCGTGGTGACAGTCATGGAGAAGTTTTTAAAACGGACGAATGCAAACTCCGAACTGGGCCCTGGACAAGATTCTGACCCAGAAGAAGAGCTTTTCAAGCTTAACTGCTATAAAAACTAAAAACAGAGAGAGACTGAGAGCTGTTGATGAAGAGCTTTGTGTGTGTCTTTCTTCTATTCCTGCCAGGATTTGTGTTCATCTAAACAGGCGCAGGTCTCACACTGAGTAAGTAGTAATTAATGTAGAAATTATATTGTAATTAAATATACTGTATAGTGTCATTTTGTAACATTTTGGTTAGTGGTGTGCCGCAAGATTTTTCCAATGTAAAAAACGTGCCGTGGCTCAAAAAGGTTGAAAAACACTGACTTACCCCCTGGAAAATTGCATCCTATTCCCACCACCGCAATATCCTTTTCTTCATCCATCTCCAGATTTCTTAGTATCACTTCTTTTCCAAGTCACTTTTTAACCTCCATCCACAGTTCTGTTATTGATTCAGTGCTCTGTCCATCTCTCATCATAGCAGCGGCTTCACTTTTCTGATCTCCTGCCCTCCTGCCCATTCTTATAGCCTCCTCCTCCTCCTTCTGCATATCAAACATTAATGAGTGTGTGTACGTGGCCATGGAGATGCACAACTTCAATGCACACATTTATGGACGCTTCACCAATCATTAGACCAGCAGTAGTATGTAAACAAATAATTATTTTGACATCAATCATAACCAACAGTGGAGCAATGACAGCTAATGCTACAGTAAATAAATGCTCAAACGTCAATACAGTCTGATGAATGGTTCTTTAATCAGAAAAAAATATATATGTTTGTGGCATAAACACATTCATAAACATTGTTATGATAAGATTGTTCCATACATTGCACAAGACAGGGCATTTAAGTAAGTCTATTTGGTCATTATCTCTCCATTAGTCAAGTTAAAGTAAGTGCAGGGATGATAAAGATAGAGCATGTTGCAGAAACTTAAAGGTACATTATGTAACTTATAAAATATTAAAAATAAAAGCATGTTGTTGTTTTTTTAAATTTTCTTTGTGTTTACTGTACAGAAAAATGCCAACTGTGAGCCGGCTTGCATCTCCACAAACCTGACTCTTATTTGGCAAAATGGAAATATTGTTCATTTGGCTACAGTATTCTACAATATGGCATAAACTTCTACCTCCAAGGAGAATGTTCCAAAGTATGGATTCAACTTGCTGTTTCCATGGAATCGTAGTCAATGTGCCACCTACAGAAAATTACATACTGTTCCTTTAAAGTATTTGAAAATCATCATTAAAAATTACAATACAAATATGTTAAGCAAAATGCATGTGTTATTTGGTCTATAGCCTAAGTTTTCCATCGTATTTGAATGCCTGTAGTGTAAAAACAGCATTCATTATTACGAAACTATAGATGTTAAAAGTTGACAAATTAGCACAATCATCATTTTTATTATTAGATGGTAATTTGGAAAGCAGAACAATAGACTGGCCCTCACGGGAAACATACCAGCATTCTCTTTGATATTTAAATTTTTCACAAATGAAACCACTAGATCCTTTCAATGTAGATAGATATGTAGATATGTAGATCTCAAACTCAAAGAGTGGCCCCAGAAAATGTGGTAGAGTAGTTCTATTGCAGGTGACAAAAATAAAAATGTTATTCTGCCAATTGGACAAAAGGATTTATGATTTAAAGCCATAGTCCTTGAAGATTCTCCTTAAAGATACATATATGTATATATCTTTTATGCCATACTGTGAAATGTTATAGCTAAAGAGGCAAGCAGAAGGAGGCCCTCCACCAGACCAAACATGAGGCAGGTTTGTGGAGATGCACTTTTCAGTGCTATAAAAACAACCACGTGAAAAAAACAAACAAACAAAAAACATACTTTTATTTTTGTAAATTTTTTGCTAAAATGTTACATACTGTGGCTTTAAAAACATGATATATTTTGTTTATTTTATGGTGAGGGGAAAATTCAGTTTGTCGACTGGACAAAAGTTAGTTTGGCTGAAGATGTCTCGCACCTCATCCAAGCTGCTTCTTCAGTTCAGTTTATTTTACATTAATATTAAATTATTAACAATACCCGCTTGACAAAACTGATCTGGACTGGTTTAACTTGTGCACAATGAGCACACGTCATCATTTCTAAGATGGAATATTTTTTGAAAATCCCCTGGCAAACAGAAAGCAGAACCCTTGGCCTTACTGGAAACTGACAAGAACAGCCAACCACATTTGTTACAATTCACAATTTAAAAAGCAAACCCTCTCTAAGATGATTTTGATCAGTGGTAATATTTAGTCAAGTCATTTTATTTGTAAAGCACATTCTAAACAATTGTAAAAACGTGCACCAAAGTGCTTTACAACAACAAACGCAGTCAAAGACACACAGTAAAACAATAAAACATGATCAAATAATACATATAAAAAAAATCTGAAGTTTACAGCTTCAAAAAAGCTCAATGTTCTTGGCTTTGAAGCAGGATGGTGGGACAGACATAGTCTGACCTGAGGGTCCCAGGGGCAGTGTGTGTGTGGTTAGAAGATCCATGATATATTAAGGGACAAGTAAATTAAGTAATTTAAAAATTAATTTCAAAATCAATTCTGGATTTAACAGGTAGCCAGTGGAGTTGGGCTAGGATGGACCTGATACATTCTCTTCTTAAAACTAGTGGGCAGTTTATACGATAAAAGTTAAAATCTTTTCATATCATCACCATAACATTTTTGTCACTTGTAGTTTTACTTTTATTCTTATTTTGTCCTAAATTGAGCCCATTTAGTCCTGATTTAGACTTGGATTGACCCTGTTCTGGTCTAGTCCAGGTTTACATTTATGTTTAGAGCTGGTTTAGTTTTAATTTAGTAACCAAACCAAAACTTCAGTCAAATTTTATGTTGTAAAAGATTCTATTAAAGGAAGAGTAAAAGTGTGGTGTCTGAAAACTACTCAACAATACAATTTTCATAAAAAGATACTTAAGTTACTTAAGTATTTCTACCTGAGCTCTAAAATGATTTGTTCTTTGGTAATATTTAATCAAGTGAAGGCTGTATCAAGTGGTGGTTTAAATATTGTTTAATGAAGTTACACATTGAGTTGAAGCTTAAACACTGAGATCTTATCTGTTGAATAGTACCATTGTGCTACATAATGGGTAACCTATGTGCTTCTAAGCAAATTCCTTTGCAGAACTGGGACTGTGGAGATAACCAGCTGGCTTATCTAAACAGACTTGGTGTGATTTACAATGGTTTTGTTAAGGTTTGGCAAGAGGGACCCCAAAGCAGGGCCAGGACTCAGTCAAGTTTTAACAGTTTATTTTACAAACGGAAGGGAGGCTGAGGAGGCAGGGAGCTGGCCAACTTCTCCAGAGGCAACAGCAGACAACCACGGAGACACCTGGGCGAAAACAGGAATAGGTAAGTCCAAGACAAGCAGCAAGCAAAACGGATACATATCCAGGAGCCTGATAGAACTCTACCAAACAGGACGGAATTATCTGGCAAAGTGGTGGTGAGAAGACCAGGGCTAAATACAGAGGCTGATGAAGGAATTGATTGCTGGTGTGTCCCATCTGCTCTGGAAGAAGACAGCCACGCCCCCTGCCACACTCAAGCCTTGCAACAAAAGGGGGGGAGAACAAAAAAACAAAAAAACAAATCAGGAAACAAAAACAAACAGGTTTGGAGGGGGTTGTCACTTCCCCCAAAGAAGAAATGCTGACACTTCAAGGCGAAGATTCAAGGCGTGAACCTGCTCAACATATTTGCACATTCATACTGTTGTGTTTTATAAACTGGGTTGAGGGACAGGCAGGCAGTCAGATTGCCTGGCGTAAGACCTGCGTAATCGAAGGCATCAGGGACAGTGATCTGACCCAGAGCTCTGTATTAGAATTGTATTGTCAGGGGAATACATTTTTGTAATTTAAATTGATTGAGTCTAGTAATTTTTGATAGAACATGCCTAACAGTTTATTAGTGACCCCGACGTGATATTTAAGTTAATGTTGTAAAGTTGGGTTAGAGTCCTATTGTAAAGTTGGGTTAGAGTCCCATTGTAAAGTTGGGTTAGAGTCCCATTTTAAAATAACTTTGGGTTAGAGTCCCATGGAATGATTGCGCAAGACGGAGTAGGACTCCGTACCCTCCACTTGACGGGATTTCTCTCCAAAAGCGGCCGCCACTTTTAAGAGATAAGCAGAAAACCTGTTGTTTTATGGAACCGAATTTCTGCTATTGGATATATTAAATTGAGGAGAGAAGTACTGCCCAGTGAAGGTAATTAAGGTACTAATGTTGTAGGAAAGGTAGACTCGCCGTAGACTGGCGTTACACCAGACGTGGTGTAACATTGTGAGGTTCCTGTATACCTTGGGGAGTTTGGGTCCCCCAGAAACAGGTACGGTATTTATTTTTTTGTGTGAATTAATCTTGCTTTGTGTAATTAAGTTGAAAGGTTAAAGTATGTCATGGATATAGATGTAGAGTGTGGCAGTGGGTGTCTGCCAGTGAATGACTTGTATGAGAAGATGGAGGAGCAAGTGTTGAGTTTTGAGTTGGATAAGAGAATGAATATAAGAAGGAATAAAGAAAAGTTGCAGAAGGCCTGAAACCTGAACAGATAGTGTCATGGATGAAATTGTCAGGGTTGTTGATGGTGGAGAAAGTTAGAATTAAAGAAGGAAACAGAGTAGAAATTGATTTAGTGTAAGTGTATATTGCTTGGTATGGACTATTTTACTGTTTTCTATGTGTTTAGTAGGTGTATTGGGTTTGTACTGTGTTGTTATTGTTTGTCCTGTGTGTGTGTGTACAGCACTGTGGCCAGCTGTATAAATAATACATAGTTATAAGTAATAATACTGATAAATAATAATGATAAATAGATTTGGTATAGTATGATATGATAAGTGGTAGGTGAGGAGATAATATATTATTGGCAAAGGTGGCTGCAGCCCAGGTGCAATTGGTTTAATACAGAGAGACACAGAAGGCAGATAAACAACCATGTACTAAGGAATTTTTAAGTGACTGACAAACACATACAATAAAATATATGGGCATGTATTCAGCATTATTCACTGCACCTACTGCGCCCCCAGTGTACACTGAGGCCTCCTGTGGGGACAATGGCGCCTGTAAAGGAAATGTTAGGAAAAGTTAGATACAACATTAGAGAGGACTCCCAAAGCTTGACTAGACATGGGGGAGAGGCGACGGAGACCATGTAGTCCATCAGACTCTAGTGCAGATGAATGGGACTGAGTGAGCAATTTGGATCACTGAGTGTAGGACACACTCCTATGAACTTGTCTAAATTAGAATATCAAAAATAGAGGCCAATATCTTGAAAAGGAGTTTAGAGGATAGAAGGGAGAAGGTGACCGACAGGATGAAGACATAGAGGAAGGACGTATACAAAAAAATGTACAGAAGAAGAAATTAAAATAGAACAAATGAGAATGGACTAAGAATTATTGCTTAGAGAAAATCAGGAATTAAGAGAACAAACTAGATTTATCTGTGATACTATGAAGGGTCAGGAAGAGGTCATGAGAGAACTAGTACAACAACAGGGACAGGGGACAAGACCAAAGGTGAATGTAAGCTCCAAGAAAGGTGTAAGAATGAAAGGAGTCCATAATTTGACTAAATGGGACAAGGAGGACACTGACAAAGACTGTGATGAGGGTAATGAGACTACTGAATACGATAGCGACACTTCTATCACTGCACAGGCAAATAGTAAAATGATTGAAACAACTATGGATAACTAAAAAAAAAAAAAAAAAGGCAGACAGGGGGTGCTTATTTGTTATAATTTAAACCAGTGGATGGGTGCTACAAAAGGAACTATGTTCCTTTTGGAGTGAGAGACCCCACAGCCCTAGTTGATAAATTACCAAAGTTTAACCAAAGTTAAAAATGACAAGGGTGAGGCTCTAAGGCTATCTGGATGTATTAGTTTCAGGCTGTAAAAGAGTTGTTTCCAAAACCTGTAGAGACAACTCCAACTGTCCTGTTATGGACTCTTGGGTTAGATTCTGGGGAGCATTATGATAAATGTGTGAAAATGCTTGAATCAGGGGCACAGGGCATTATTATATAATGTATATACATAGAGAATAAACTTAATGCTGAAAATCAAGACATGCAAATTCAATTGTTAAAATTATAACTGAATAAGGCTAGAGCTGAAGGTACAAAAGAGAGAAAAAGGACAGCAAAAAGCTACTCAAACAAATTTATCTGCTATGATGTGGCAGGGTTCATGGTAAGGTGGTGGGGGCAGAGGACATGGAAGAGGTCAAACGCTGGTTGTGGTCCACCCAATTCAAGGGCTCTCCCCCTAAGTCCGCCTCCAGCTGGTAGAGGATGGCCTCAAACTTCTGAACAGGGTCCGCCTCAACCACAGCAGGGGACGGCTCCCAGGCCATGGCAACAACTTGGTGGACATGGAGGCTACTCTGGTGAATGGCAAGCACCACCTGATGGCTAATGCTCTACTGAATGGACAGCAAACTGAGTGCCCTGGTGGGTATGGGTGCTACTACTCTCTTAATGTGCCTTTGTCATCCTCTATGCTATCAAATGCCTCTATTTCGCTGGGACCACACAAATTCTGCCTTTTATTCGATTCCTGAAAACTCATATTGCTGGACAGACACTTTTTCACCAATTTGTGCATTCTCCCCAGACTCCGCTGAATTTGTTGGGGAGAGACTTGCTGATTGCAATGAGAGCTACTATTTTATGTGGACCTGATGGTATTACAGTGACTTTTCCTGATGGACAGGCTGTCTCCTGTAACCATTTTCAATCTTCTAAGGGACAATGTCTGATGGCTCCTACAGACCCAACATCATGTGCTGACATCTACTGGGCTTTGCTGAATCCAGAGTCACCTGGACATACAAAGGGGGTGTTTTCCACTTTCCAAGCGTGGAAGCTTTGGATATGTTCTCTTGCATCATACCACCCTCCAACTGACCCACTACATTGTATTTTATTTTATGATAGAGACTATGATGATGTGTACAGTGAGGCATTTCATCAAATTGAGGGAGAAAATTGGGAATTAACATCTATTGTAATCTATGTGGGGGAGGAGGGAGTAGTGGCTCACTGTGATTTAACACCTAACCTGTTACTCTGGTGTTGTATGGGAGGAACTGCCCTTCCTCATGTATCACTAGCCTTGGCTCCACAGAAGGAAGCTTGAGATTTAGGCCCCATAGTCTGTAGACTTTTTAAACTTGTTGACTGGCAAAATTCTGATTTACCTTCAGTTCAATATTCCTCATCTCAAAAAGCTTACGTATTTTGACTTTTATGATTAATTCTACTCTTTTGCAGCATGAAATACTGACCAGGACTCATGGTAGAGATTACACTGATTATGAGGATTCTACTCAAATGCAGTAGGCTCTCCCTGACCACACATGGTTTGGAGGCCCAACAGATGTGGCATTCTGCTCTGGATGTGCACCCTTTAAAACTGAAATCAAGGAAGATCAGGTTGTATATGTTCTACAGTACAAAATTAAACAAGAAGTAGTAGAATAAATTGAAAAGATAATATGTGAGCTGTGAGATGCAGAGGTATTGGAAAAATCAGATTCTGATTGGAACATTCCCATCCTACTTATACAAAAACATGACATTCAATATTATTGTTTGGAATATGATTTGAGAGCTATTAATGATGTTGCAATAACATTTTTCTTGCCTGTTCCAGATCCTTATAGGATTTTGACGACCTTGGACTACAATACCAATGGTTCATGGTATTAGATTTAGCTAACACTTCTTCTGTCTCCCTCTAGAGAAGGAGTGCAGACTCTATTTTGCATTTATTTATAAAGGCTGTAAAGTACTGTATACAAGGTTACCTTAAGGTTTTAAGATAAGTCGAGGACTGTCTAATCAAACTCTGAAAACCTTGTTACAGTACATGGATGACATCCTCCAGGTGTCACCCACTCCTTTGGCCTGTATGGAGGCTACTAAAACTGTATTGACCAAGTTAGCTTTTTAGGTTTCAAGGTGAGCAGGAAGAAGCTGCAGTGTTGCAGACCTGCTGTGACCTTCTTAGGACGGATTATATCTGGAACAGGTAATACAATGTCTGCAGAACACCGTCTATTTTGTCACACCCAAAACCAACTACTGTGCGTGAAATGTTGTCCTTTCTAGGACTTTGTGGCTACTGTAGGAATTACATCCCGGCATATGTTGACCAAACATCTCAGCTTTAGTTAAAGAAAAGGCAGGAGAAATTTAAATGCCACATTTGACTGGACTATAAAGACTGAGGACATTATGTAGCTATTGATGATACTACTGCTAATGGAGTGCTTTACCAAAATTGTAAAATGTATCGGTTCAAGGACAGTTCTAATGTACTCTAGTGTTACGTTGGATAGTGTTAAAAGCAAACAGCCACCTTGTGTATGTTATGCAGCAGAATTGGCTATGACTATAAAGGAAACTGCTCATATAGTTATGGGCCATATTTTGACTAAGCCACACAGTAACTGCTTTTGTGGCTTCTTCATCTTTTGCTCTCTCCTCACTCAAGCAGACAAGACTGCTGAAGGTGCTCACTCAACCACATCTGTCCTATCTGACTGATGGCACTAATATGGTGGATAATATTAATAGCTCTGGGGAATTTCATATTTGTGAAATGCGGGTTTACAATGTGACTCTCTCTACAGTGCCGCTTGACATGGACATGTGCTGTTCATGGATTGATACTGCTGGAGAGACTCTGATGGCTCTTTGGGAGCAGGATTTGCAGTGGTGGAATATTTACAAGGTCAGTTTATACCTTCAAAAATAATTAACTACTTCTTTTTCTGTGCAGGCTGCTTGTTAAGGTTTGGCAAGAGGGACCCCAAAGCAGAGCCAGGACTCAGTTAATTAAGTTACACGTTGAGTTGAAGCTTCAACACTGAGATCTTATCTGTTGAATATTACCATTGTGTTTCCTACATAAAGGGTAACCTATGTGCTTCTAAGCAAATTCCTTTGCAGAACTGGGACTGTGGAGATAACCAGCTGGCTTATCTAAACAGACTTGGTGTGATTTACAATGGTTTTGTTAAGGTTTGGCAAGAGGGACCCCAAAGCAGAGCCAGGACTCAGTCAAGTTTTAACAGTTTATTTTACAAACGGAAGGGAGGCTGAGGAGGCAGGGAGCTGGCCGACTTCTCCAGAGGCAACAGCAGACAACCACGGAGACACCTGGGCGAAAAATAGGAGCAGGTAAGTCCAAGACAAACAGCAAACAAAAACAGGTATATATCCAGGAGCCTGATAGAACTCTATCAAACAGGACAGAATTATCTGGCAAAGTGGTGGTGAGAAGACCAGGGCTAAATACAGAGGCTGATGAAGGAATTGATTGCAGGTGTGTCTCATCTGCTCCGGAAGAAGCCAGCCACGCCCCCTGCCATCTGAGTTAGCTATAGGAAAATGTGTAGGACACTTTAAGGAAGATTTTTTCATTGCCGGGGTAACGATGCAGCGGACTGCGCGGCTAAGGATGCTGTTGGGTATAAGCTGCAGGCTCAGGGAGCCTTTGTCGTCAGGGATGACCCATCACCCACAGACTTCTTGCCTGCTATCACGTTGGACGTGTTATTAGATGCTCAGGGAGCTTCTCCGCTGGAAAAGTCTTTGTGGTGTGATAAAGGAGCTGTCAGCGACAGCTATGGCCTATGGAGAGGCCCCAGGGGCCAAACAGTGTTGCCCATGGGCCCTCTTTCTCTAAGGCTGCTTTGGAGGAGGCTTATTGAATTCAGACTATGATGGGAAATTTACATATGTGGTGGCACTCATTCATGTCTGACTTGGTCAGGGACCATTGTAATAAATGTAACACCTGTTAATATTTTAATGTTAAGTCCACCTTTAAGTCAGCACCTGGTAAGTTCCATCCAGCCCTTTGGCCAGGCGCAGAAGTGACCATTGACTTCACAGATATGTTACATCGTGTCCAAGATAAGAGATATCTCTTGGTTCTTGTGGATTCCTTCACAGGTTGGTCTGAAGCCTATTCTGTGAACCGTGAGGATGCTTCTTCTGTGATTAAGGTAAAGATTAATCATTATTTTCCTATTCATGGCTATACAGCTCTGATTAGGTCTGATAATGGTACAAAATATCATAAATTTGATTCTGTGTATCACCCTCAAAGCCAAGGATGGGTGAACATATGAACTGCATGCTAAAAGTAAAATTGGCTAAGATTTGTTTTACTTCAGGGCTTAATTGGCTCCAAGCCCTACCCCTGGCTCTCCTGGCAGTGAGACAAACTAGTTATAAAGTCACTGTTTTTTCTTCTTATGAATTGCTCACTGGACGATTGATGCCAGGTCCAGGGGCAGGAAGAGGTGCCCCTTCTAAATCTTCAGTTTAAGCCAGATTGGAATCAACTGAGGCAACTGGTGTCTAATTTTCTTCCCAGCTTCCAGAGAGGAGGCTGCTATATCTCCACCTTCTGAAGTTTATTTGCAGGTTTTATCTCGGAAGTGCTCTGAACTATGTTGGATTGGGTCGTACAGAGTGACTGCTCGTACTTATACGGCTGTTCATTTGGACGGGAAAGCATAAATGGTTTCATCACACAGACCGAGCTGTGAATTCCTGAATATTTTGTGTTTGTTTGTGTGTTCTTTTATATGTTTTCATAGGGGACTTTTGTTTGCTCCAGTGACATACGACAGTTTAAAGCTCCAGGTGTGGTGTTAGACTGTGATCTCTCCTCCCTGTACATGGTTGGTTAATAAACACTGGCTGAAGGTTTACAAGCACGATTATATTGCTTTTTTAGGTTGTATTGGGTTCCCCCTGTCCAAAGGGGGAAATATGGAAAAAAAAAAATTAACAACATTGCTGTATTGGCTGTATTTGCATTGGTGGAATGTTGTTGTGTGCCTTGTATTGTGTGTTCTGTGTTTTAAGGTCATTAACAGTGCGATTTGCCCTGATCAAGAGGACAGTATCCCCAATTGAGTGTGAATGATGTTGGAGAGGACCAGAAAACCATGTGATATCACCTTGCTCTGAGTGGTGACCTCTTAGGAGAGGTCAAAAGGGGGAAATGAAGGCTGTATCTGGGACTGTGGGGGAATTTGATTTATGATTAGGATTTATGATTTAAAGCCATACTCCTTGAAGATTCTCCTTGAAGATATATATATGTATATATCTTTTATGCCATACTGTGAAATGTTATAGCTAAAGAGGCAAGCAGAAGGAGGCCCTCCACCAGACCAAACATGAGGCAGGTTTGTGGAGATGCACTTTTCAGTGCTATAAAAACAACCACGATGAAAAAACAAACAAACAAAAAAAACAACATACTTTTATTTTTGTAAATTTTTTGCTAAAATGTTACATACTGTGGCTTTAAAAACATGATATATTTTGTTTATTTTATGGTGAGGGGAAAATTCAGTTTTGTCTGTTTTGGACAAAAGTTAGTTTGGTTGAAGACGTTTCGCAGCTCATCCAAGCTGCTTCTTCAGTTCAGTTTATTTTACATTAATATTAAATTATTAACAATACCCGCTTGACAAAACTGATCTGGACTGGTTTAACTTGTGCACAATGAGCACACGTCATCATTTCTAAGATGGAATATTTTTTGAAAATCCCTTGTCAAACAGAAAGCAGAACCCTTGGCCTTACTGGAAACTGACAAGAACAGCCAACCACATTTGTTACAATTCACAATTTAAAAAGCAAACCCTCTCTAAGATGATTTTGATCAGTGGTAATATTTAGTCAAGTCATTTTATTTGTAAAGCACATTCTAAACAATTGTAAAAACGTGCACCAAAGTGCTTTACAACAACAAACGCAGTCAAAGACACACAGTAAAACAATAAAACATGATCAAATAATACATATAAAAAAAATCTGAAGTTTACAGCTTCAAAAAAGCTCAATGTTCTTGGCTTTGAAGCAGGATGGTGGGACAGACATAGTCTGACCTGAGGGTCCCAGGGGCAGTGTGTGTGTGGTTAGAAGATCCATGATATATATATTAAGGGACAAGTAAATTAAGTAATTTTAAAAACTAATTTCAAAATCAATTCTGGATTTAACAGGTAGCCAGTGGAGTTGGGCTAGGATGGACCTGATACATTCTCTTCTTAAAACTAGTGGGCAGTTTATACGATAAAAGTTAAAATCTTTTCATATCATCACCATAACATTTTTGTCACTTGTAGTTTTACTTTTATTCTTATTTTGTCCTAAATTGAGCCCATTTAGTCCTGATTTAGACTTGGATTGACCCTGTTCTGGTCTAGTCCAGGTTTACATTTATGTTTAGAGCTGGTTTAGTTTTAATTTAGTAACCAAACCAAAACATAACCAAAACTTCAGTCAAATCAAGTCAAAGTAAAAGTGTGGTGTCTGAAAACTACTCAACAATACAATTTTCATAAAAAGATACTTAGGTTACTTAAGTATTTCTACCTGCGCTCTAAAATGATTTGTTCTTTGGTAATATTTAATCAAGCCATTTTATTTGTTAAGCACATTTAAAACAGCCATAAAAAGCTGCATCGAAGTGCTTTACAACAAGAAACAAACAAGTAAAAAACTCACAGTAAAACAATAAAACCGTAAAAAAGTCTAAAGTTAACTGTTCCAAGGAAAACACAAGGACTGCTATCTCAAATAAATTCGTTTTTAGGAGCGTTTTAAAATGAGGTATGACGGAGCAAGTTCTTAGTTTTGAGGTAGGGTGGTGGCACAGACAGAGAGAGTTTTGACCTGACGGGCCCAGGGGCAGTGTGTATGGTTAAGAGATCCATGATATACACAAATGAATTAACTGATTTAAAAACTAATTTTGTATTTAACAGGTAGTCAGTGGAATTGGGTTAGGATGGGCCTGATATGGTATCTTTTTAAAACTAGTGAGCAGTCTGGCCGTAGCTTTTGAACTTAGTGAATGCATACTGAAACTCATAAGAATTTAGATTTGCACTGACATCATGCTGGGGTTTTTCTACATATATCTCTATTGGGCGACAGTGGCTCAGTTGCTAAGTTTGTTTGTGTGATTCCAGCTCCTACAGTGTCTGTGTACACTGGTGTATGAATGCGTGTGTGAATGGGTGTGTGGTTCCTTGTTGCAAAGTGCCTTGCGTGCCTTGAAGGAGGAAAAGCACTATATAAAATGATCATTTACCATTTACCAGCACTCAGCAGTTACCATGGTGAGGCAAACACAGACAAAAAAGTTTTAAGAAGTCTGAAAACTAAAAATACAAAATACAAAATGCATAAACAACACATTTCCAGGAGCCTGTGATCGATATGAATGTTCATAGTCGTGTAAATTAAAAGTTCAGATTAAGTCTAACTTGAGTAATAGAGCTTCAGACAGAGCAGTTAAGCATCACATCCCTGGGGAATGTTGATGACATCAGCTGCAAAGTATCAACAGCATAAAGCACAAGAACATAAAGCATTTTGAGAAGGCAATAATATGAGACAGGTCGAGTAGTATTTGTAAAGCACATTTAAAAACAACCATAAAAAGTGTGCTTCACAACAAGAAACTCAGTCAGATACAAAGTAAAACAATAAAAAATGATAAAACAGTAAATGTAAAAAAGTTGACAGCTTCCAAAGAAAGCACAAGTTGTGTTATGCCAAGCTGAGCAGGATGGACGAAACATTCAATAATGCACAGAACCTGATAGACCATAAGAAATGGTTAGAAATGAAGCAGAAACTACAAGTTAAATGATTTCATATAGTCAGCATAACATTTTTGTCACTTGTAGGTTCACACTTGTTCTTATTTGGTCCTAAATTGAGCCAATTTAGTCCTAATGTAGACTTGGATTGGTCCTGTTCTGGTCTAGTCTAGTATTTTGCTGTGGTGAATGTGTGCAGTTAGCAACCAAAATGTAACCGAAACATTAGTCAAACATTGCATTATGAAATATACTATTCAAGCAGAAGGAAAGTTACTCAACTATTTCCCCTTGCTCCTACTATATTTTCCTATCCCTGAATACACTATTATAAAACAGATTTTTGCAATCCATCTTTTTCCATCCACCTTTGATGTCCAAGTACATTCATTACAATGTTATCTTTTAATTGCTTTATCAGAGACAAGGTCGCCAAGGTGAAACTAACTTATCACATGTTTATTACTCTATATAAACTAACAGCTGTGAAGTGTTAAATAAGATACTGTCATACATATTTACTTTACTTACTTTGTTAAATACATAATTTAAAGGCACTTGTCGCATACACATTGAGCTAAAACAAGCAGTTCATATTGGCTACGTCTTTCAGGAGTTGTCGCATCTTATAATTGAGTAGATTGTATGACCTATGCTAACAAAGATGCATGGTTTATAGTCCAGTGTAACAATGTCAATCCCTACATAAAACAGATCTAATCCAGTTATAATTTCTGCTCTAATTATAAATATTAAAAGGTCCCACATTACGCAAAGTTGACTCTTGTGAGCTATAAGCCATGTTAAAATTATGTTACCTCATGAAAAACAGACCTGGAGTTGTGTTTTGTTTCATTCATGCATGTTTGAGTAACTTTTTATTAATAATCTGTCTACATGTCCAAAACTCAAAATGTTCTCGTCCACCTTGATGCCATAAAGCGATAGATTTCATGTTAACAGCTACCGTTCACCTTTTCTTTGGTAGAGACTGGCAGTTCCAGGGTTGAAATTGCCCAAATGATTCTAGTGAAGGTGTAAGGAGAACACAGTGGAGCACTTCCTGTATTATTACATCTAATCACAAGGTGGAACAGAGTGTTTTCTGAACTCAGCCCAAGATATGTGAAAGAAACAAAACACAACTCCAGGTAATTGTTAACATATTTCTTTCAGACAATCAATAAAAGTGCTTTTAAGAGTAAGACAATTCTATTACTTTGCTCACTGAGTTTAAAAGTTACACATTTATATCATAATGAAGAATGAATTGTTTATATAAATTTTTGCTTTGCCCGGAATGTTTCACAGTATGGCATTAAATTGATCTATCTTATATTTATTCAATTACAGATATCTTATTGTTAAAAAATAAATTGAAAAACCTGTATTCTTATTGTGAGTGAGATCGTCTCTCCACAGAGTGTTTCTCAAATTGTGATATGTGTGCTCCTTTATGTGGTACTTGGACAGCTCTTTAGTCTGTGGGTCTAAGTATTTATCCACTTTTAGATTAGACCTGATTAGTTTGGTTATAGACCTGGTTTTGATCTGGTGGCAAAACCCCCCCCAAAAAAACACTGATCTAACTATCTAACGATTTATCGTGTGTCTGTAGAAATAGACAAGTTTAATGACTGTGGAAGATTCCAGGCAGAGCAATAACATCTCCAGGAAGCGGACTCTCAACCAGAAAAGTTGCATAGTGCATCTTTAATGTTAGCACTATCTATAAAACTAATGCTTCCAGTTTCTAAATTAGTAGTTAAATACTGTATTCAAATGTAACTAAAGGAAAGCAGAGACAATGAGAGTGAACTGGTGTATTTCAAGATATAGAGCAGAGAGATTTGGGTCTGTTATGGGTTATTCCCAGTTGATGGAGAGCAACTGACAGCTGAGCTCCCACAGCCTCTGGGCCAGTTCATCGTCCTGGGCCTTTGCTGAGCACTTAGCTGGGGCACAGTCACTGTAAAAGATTAGAAAGAAGAAAGTGGGTAAAAAAGTAAAATTGATGTTCCCTTATCCAATACATGAGAGATGAACAGTGTTATTTTGGGTCTCAGTATTTTGTTTTTAAGTTAACAAGTCAAGTGAAGTGGTTTGAGAGTAAACATATCCATGTAATAACTAACCATGAAATTAATTAAAGGGCCCATATTACGCTATTTCTGATCTATGTTATAAAGCTGTTTCCACATCAAAAACATACTTGCATACTTGGAAGTCTTTTTTTTTTTTATTCACACACATTTCACACAAACCCTGCATATTTCCTCTGTAAAACTGAAAACACTCTGTTCCACCTTATGATGTTATATGGTAATCCATTGTATTTCTAAAATACATACACCTTCATTAGAATCATTTGGACGATTTCAATCGTGAAATTGTCCATCTCTACGGAACTAAATGTAAACTGTTAACTCAAAAACTACAACTACATGACATCGCAAATTGGGACAGAACATTTTGAGCTTTGGAGAGGTAAATAAATTCATAATAAAGGGTTACTCAAACATGTGGCAATGGAAAAAAAAAATATATATATATTGATATATCATATTGTTTAATGTGATGATACATGATGAAGAAGGAAACTCATTTATGCAACACATTTGGCATTTTCACAGTGTTGATGATTAAAATGGGTGTGTTTCATATTAACTTTCCACAAGAAGTGGTTTAACAAAGACTTTTACCATCACAGCCATGATTTAGCCATTATCAAATCTTTCTTTTTTATTGAACCATATCGATTTGATTTGAAATATATGGTATCGAAGCGTATCAAAAACTCACTGTATCGAGATATGTACCATATCATGGCCTATGTATCGAGGTATGTATTGTATTGGCAACTTCTTACTGATACCCAGCCCTAATTATAACATGCTTTAAAGCTCAAAAAAATGCATTTTGTGTAATATAGCCTCCTGAGACCCGAACTTTTGTCTGGTGTGCATTTTTTATTTCTCCTTGATATTTGGGATAAGTAGGACCTAATAAGTATCATAACTAAACATTGTTTTTATACAGGAAGTAGTTTTTGCAAAATATGATGTCCTCATATGAGGATAATGGGTCGATCTTACTGTATGACACAAATAGACACCATTGGTTAAAAAATTATTATCTTCACCATCTAACAAGTGTTTACGCCTATAAACTTTTTAAGTATATTAAAACTTTATTTAAGCAAATGTACCATTTAAATGAACTATTTACAACTGTAAACTCTAGTGTGGTAGACCGCTTTTTTACTGTCTTGGTCTCGTCTTGGACTCGAGCACATTTGGACTCGGTCTTTGTCTCGGTTTCAGCCTTTGAAAGTCTCAGTCTTGTCTTGGTCTCGTCCTGGTCTCGGGACTCTGTGGTCTCGGACTAGTCTTGGTCTTGAATAGTGCAGTCTTGACTACAACACTAGTAAACTCATCTAAATATTCCCAAGTTTAGCTAACAACATGGTACAATCAACATTACATAGTCCCAATGTCCTCAAACGAGGACATGACATTTACTGATGTTCTAGTCTGCTATGACTACTAAAATGTGTTAAATTTTAATGCCATATGAAGACAGAGACATTATTCTACATAAATACATTAGTTTCATTCATAAAATTTGGATATAAACTTAAATAATATAAACCGCCATTTTTCTTTCACTGAAATTGGTGTAATGTTGTGATATCACCAGAAGTGTGGCAAACAGGTCAAAGTTCTAAAAAATGGAGTATCATGGTGCTAAGAGGCAAAAATTTAATGTCCTTGTATGAGGACGCAGGGTCTCAAGAGGATAGGACATTTCATTGTGCTAATTAATTATTCCAGTTTAGATAAGGGTTTACGGTTATGATCCTAATATTTTGTGTAGCAATGCCACTGCATTATAACAAGTCTCTGAATCTCATTTTAGTGATTTGGGCTTCAGCTTTGAAAAGGGAATTGTCAAGACTCAACAAATGCTCAATCTATTGCCTCTTAGACCATCCATCCCTCTAGACAGCAGCTTTACTTCTCCTTTTATTTACCCTAAAGAATCTAGGCAGGATTTGAAGTCTGATGTTCTTCTGCATGGAGCTTGTTACCATTTATAATCAAAGTAAATCAGACAGCAGAGGCCAAAACTACAGTCTCATCATCACAAACAGCTCAAGTAATTGGAGGTAATTTTGGTCATTTTAGGAAAAATCCTCTTTCATCATGAGAGTTAAATTCAACCTAAAGAAGAGGCCTAAAGATAGGTGTGATCAGGTGTTGAGTCATTAGCAATTTAGTGTAGGTAGGAATAATGTAAAATGTAAATATTTAAATGTTGTAAACTAAATTATCTGGGTTGTTGGTGAGGTGCTCCCTCTGCTGGTGCTTAGTTGTTGGTGTTTTTTATGGGCCATTTTAGGAAATCTTTGCACTGTTAATCTTTCGCTTTACCTCTGCCCAGAGACAACAGATGAAAATTGGCTTGTAACTATCTGGTCTTTGCAATATATGTAGTGTAATGACCCTATCAAATAAAATAAACAATGAAGTCTGAATTGAGTAACAGAGCTTCAGACAAAGTAGTACCTACAGTTAGCTTCACACCCCCAGGGAATGTTGATGATATCAGTTGCAATTTTAGATGTTTTGTTTTTTTACTTCTCTTCACAAATTCCCACTTGACTCATGTAAATTTATGATGAATATTTATCTCTGTGTCCCACCAAACCAAAATAATCAATAATAATAATAAAAATACATTAAAACTCAATGGTTTGAGTTGAGAGGTGTAGGTGCTACCTGTAGTATCCTCCGTTCTCCAGGGAGGGTTCCACTGCACAGTAAATGGTGGTCTGGGCTCCTTCTGTTGAGGTCTTCGTGAATGGACTGACCACCTTCATCACAAACTGTTGTGGCCCGTTCAAGTGTCTCCACAAGTCCGTCTGCACCACGCCCGGATGGAGAGAATATGCGCTCACATCAGTATCTAACATACATGACAATACAGGAGTTACACTTAGGTAGAGAAGGTGAGATGAACTGAAACACTAATATATCAATATGTAACTTTTCAGGTGTAGGGTCCGTTACCTGCTTGTCTCTATCGAGATGTTTTGCTTTGCTTGGAATTGCTGACAGTATGGTAAACTAAACTTTTTCTATTTACTTTTTTTTTTTTTTTTCACTCTTACTATACTATTTGCCTCTCCACAGATCTGACTTGTAACAGCCTGGCAACATCTCCTCCTCGTCTCTCTCAATGATCTCGCCATAGATACATTCACTACTGTACTATGGAGCAATCTAATTAAAGCAATAACATCTCCGTGGATATATATAAATATCCCCCACCTGTACCGACCTGTATGCCAGAATATGTTATTATAAGACTAATTTCCAGAGCCATACCCTGCAGTCTTTTGGCCAATGAGCGTGTGAAGAGAACATTGGCCAGTTTGCTCTGCGAATAGGCCTTTTGTTTGTCGTAACTCTTCTCGCTGTTGATGTCCTCCAGGTTTATGGAGCCAAACTGATGCGCCATCGATGAGACATTGATGATTCTGGCAGGGGCGGACTTTTTAACCAGGTCCAACAGGAGATATGTCAACAGGAAGTGACCTAAAGAAGACAAGAAAAGGGTAGGACTCTACATAATGGGTGATAAAGTGGTTTATTGGTAGGTAGATGACATACTAGATGCATTTACTAGTTCATTCTAAAACTTAGAGGACTAAAACAACATAACTAGAAGTAAATTATGAAAATCAATTAGAAAAATAAGAGTAACGTTACTAAACTAATATTACTTAAGTAGAAGCACAAAGTAGTGATCCAAGGAAGAGTAAAAAGTATTAAGACAAAGTACTACTTCACACTACACTAAAAGTAACTTTAAGAGAGAGAACTGTCAGGATGCAACATCTGCTTTATAATTTGAAGCTGTATACTATTTGTAGACAACAGTATAAGGTAGAAATCATATCTGAAGGAGAACTGCAAGAAACACAGATGTTCAAATCTTTTCATATTGTCAACATAAACCTTTTGTTAACATAAAGCTTGGGTTAATGGTCAGTGGGCAAAATAACCACAACTGTTACTTCAATAAAAAGATGATTCAAGTAGGAGTAAAAGTACAGTGTGAGAAAAGTACTCTGGAAAGTCCAATTTCTTTAAAAGGCTACTTAAGTAAATGTAAGTGAGTACAACCCACCTCTGTAACTCTATTTCTGTCAAGTAAAAAGTACAATAATTTAGATATATATTGTAGCCCTACATTTGTACACAGAAACTTGTACAAAGTAGTGATCCTTGATTTTACAAGTGCTTTACACCATGCTTCCTTATTATCTGCATTGGCACCTATGTGTAATCAGAGTTGCAGTTATCACCCATCAATATTTAACTCAAGAGATGCATAACTCCTCCATTATGCAATACAATGCGTGACTGATATTTTTCTTCCTTTACATAACTGGAATTGCAGTGCATAATGGCTGTTTTGTTATTTCACTGCTAGGTCCAAATTTTCTGACATAAAATAGTAGAATAGTATAGTATAGTAGTATACTAGATTTAATATTTATGTGTATGTAATCAGCAATTAATAAGGATTATAAAAAATCTTGCTGCTTGTCTTGCTCCATTGTGCATTATATTTCACATCTGTCCACAAGAGGGCGGCTTTAGACTATAACCTTATGCCTTACAGGAAACTATTACTTTTCCCACATCATGAAATAGGACAGGTGTTCTCACACCAAGTAACACCTATAAAAATATTTGGTTTTCAAATACAACAATATCAGACTTAGGGTTAAGCAGGTTTAAAATTTGACCACATTATGGCAGATCTAAGGAATGATTAATGATTACTTCAAAAGGAGGACAAAAATTAGATTTGTAAAGTAGTTTGTAAGTAAAATATCTACTCAAACTGTGGAGGGCCTGCTTAGCACACGAGGCAGCACCAGTGGTACAGATAGAAACATTTTATTATCTATTATTATCAAGTCTCATAACAAACTTTTATTTATATTATGTTGTTGTGTAGTTATGGTGTAGGGATCAATAACAGTTACATAACTACGTCAAAGGGTAGGTAAACTTTTTCACTTTTAACTGAAGGCTGGCTGATTTATATATATTTATATTTTTTTAAATTGACTGTTGAGTTGAAAGTGGTAAAACTAAAACTGGTAAAAATGGTAATACAAGTACACATACCACAGTTTGAGAAGCATTGAAATAATGCATTCTCTGTGTACATACAACTAATTTCATCCTTCCTAACAAATGACCGTTTATTGGAACTCTTTCTAGATTACGTCTACATTAAGTCACATTGTACTTAAAGGTCCTCATTAATGACTGTCTATTCAAATATTGCTCTAAACTTTTAATCTAAAATGAATAATTCTGAATTGATTTACCCAAGTGATTAACTCCAAACTGCATCTCAAATCCATCTGCAGTTTTCCCGTACGGACACACCATCACACCAGCGTTATTGATGAGGATGTTGAGTTTCTCCTCTCCTACAAAAATACAAAATAATTTAATATGTATTTGTTGTAGGGATGGACAGATTTTTCTTTTTCTTTCTTAATTTATTTTTTGAGCTAATGTGATTTGTCTTGCAGTTGTGGCCGATAACCGAGATTTGCCAATACAGATATTAAGCATATAAAATCCATAGCAGGTACCACACATTTCAAGTTATAATTATGTCCACAAATTCACTTTAAAATAAGAACAAAATGTATAAAAAGTTCATTAACAAAAAATAAAAAATAAATAAATAAATCAGTGCGAAATTTCAGCTACATTTTCTATATTATACCTATTAAAATCTGCACAGATATTGACGATCATCAATAAATCATTCCTATTTATTTAACCTCTAAGACATGTGAAAACAGATGCATACCTTTATTAATATTGTCAGCAAACTCTTTTATGGATTTGGTGTCTGACAGGTCTAGTTTCATACAGACTACGTTTTCATTAGCTGAGCTTTCAATGACTTCTTTGAGAGCAGATTGACCTCGCTCCATGTCTCTACAGGCCATGATGATTCTTGCTCCTGGACAAAACACACATCAGCACCTTTAGTTATTTGTTATTACATGATGAATTTGCTGGTGGAATGTGAACGATGACCAACATATGACGTACATGGTGAAAGAGCGCCCTCCCTTGACAAATAAAGGTTTTACAATTACAGAAAAATAGTCTCCTACTGTTAACATACTTTGGAATTATGTGAGAAAGTCATGCAAAATGTAAGAATCATTACGTTACTGAGCAAAAAAGAAGCAACACCAAAGACGCTACGCAGTGTTATTTGCTTTTAGCATGATAAAGGTCTTCTGTACTGTATTTGTACAATGTATTTGTAACATTGAGAATTTACAATTATGAAAAGCCTGAAATGAAAGAAAATATGTTTTTCATCATGCATATGACATTTTATGTGTAAAAATGACCAAACTAACATTTTTAGGACATTCAAAACAGAAACATGAAAAGAGCTAGGTTTAAATTTCTTACTTCTTTTTGTTGACTATTATTATTTGAATAAACTAGATCTAGTTCAGAGAATTTGATAGTGTAAAAACTAATTAGTTCTATTCTATTCTGGGTCGCAGTAAAGTTGATAGAGTACTTGTCCTCTGAGCTACAGGTTGGCGGTTCAGTCTCACAGGTGAACACTGTTGTTGTGTCCTTGGGCAAGACAATTAACCTGCTTTGCCTCTAATGTCTGTGTACACTGGTGTTTAAATGTGTGTGTGAATGAGTGCTTTGAGAGTATATATGATCATATACCATTTTAACCCAATCCTGCACACTCACCTCTCTTTGCCAGGTCAATGGCTGTCTCTTTGCCAATGCCAGTGTTGGCTCCAGTGATGACCACAGTTTTACCATCCAGCCTCTGTGATGAAGACCAGGAAGAGCGGAAAAATCTTCTGTCAAGTGAAGAAACACACACAACTTACTCAAACAGGTGTTGCAACATCAAGACAAAGAACAAACCGGTTGCCAGTCTAAACCTGTAGGCTACTAAAAAGCTCTTTTACAAATGACAGCTCTGAAAACTTAAACTATTATTATAATTGATTACCATCCATGTCAAAGTGCAAGTTAAGTAGTATTATGTTACCGTAATAAACAGAAAGGTAGGCTGTTTTAATTACTAAATGTAGCCTCCAAAGGTGAACTTCCTACCTTATAGACTGCATCACGTCCACAAAAGTGTAAAGATGAAAATACAAAGACCAACAGATGAGTTGATAACAGTTGTTAAATCAGTCTTATTCGGCTCAGTACGCTAGACACAGCAACAGATTGTTGGAAGACCGGTTAAATCTGTAAATGCGGAATAGTGAGTGAAAAGTAAAGCCTGATGGACAAAGACTTGAACCAATCAGCAGTGCATAACCATCCCGCGAGCGCTGTTATTGGCTAAATGATAAAAATAGGTCCCGCCTTTACGCCTTGCGCTGTGCGTTCATGTTGTGACAAAAGGGTTGACTTAGCGTAAAAAAATGCCAAATCATGGTTTCATGACAAGTCCATTCCAAAAATGAGTCAACTTCTAAAAGACAATGTAATGCCTGTCAGACAATTACTAACACACAAACATTTTAATCTTGCTTCATAAAGCACAGTTAGTGCTTTTATTAATTTAAGCTTGTGTCATTTGATAACCGACTTTACTCAGTTAAATTACAGTAAAATTACTTAATGTGTACATATCAGAGTAACTGAAAAAAGTATTTTTCTATTTACACAATTTTAATTATTCATTGTTAAAATGGTTTCATCTTCCTTTTTTCTCTCTCTCGGGGCCGAGGGTCAGGCCTTCCAGAGTTCCAAAATGCCACCAGTTTGCCAGATATAATAAATAATTAATAAAAATAATTAATAAAAATAAAAAAGAGAAACAGGTGATTTGTCCAACAGGTGGCAGCTCAGGACCACCTATAGACTGAATGAGCTGCCTCTGTAAATATGAGACCATTATGTTAAAAAAAAAAAAAAAAAAAAAAAGAAAAGAAAAATGCGGTTGACTGTACTGTATTTCCTATTTTGTCCAGCAGGTGGCAGCTCAGGACCACCTATAGACTGTATTAGGCTGTATGAGCTGAAGGACACGGAGCAGCAGCCTACATGATTTGATATGTCTGCAGATTAGCAGGTTAGTGTTTGGCTAAATCTGTCCTTGACTGAGATAAGACTCTAGAGGAAGAATGTTTAACTCACATTTTTAGAGTAGGTTCAAGGTGTCGAGAAGATCACTGGAACAGGAAACACTGAGCCAGTCATCAGCTGATTGTGCGTTAGAGAGATTTCCTTCCCTAAAATTTGACTCAGCAATGTTGCCCTAGCCAGTCCAAGAATATAAGATACCGGTTCCCAAAGGTTAGTATGCGTTGTACTAGTAAGAAATTCATAAACAGCCACTGAATGTAAAGTACTTGAAACCTGTTTTCAACTGTAAGTAAGTAGAAAGTTGTGTTATTTTTTTCTAAACTGCTCACACATCAGACCTCATACTTCAAAATACTTCCACTGTTCCATTTTCTTGCTATGATACATATATTTATTTGATATTCACCCCGCCTGTTTACTGCCGTATATGGCTTGTTGCTGTGCAATTAGACAAAACAATTTACCTCTGAGCTGCGGCGCCACATTCTGCACCCCACCACCACCAAAACACAATAGAGAGGCAGAGGATGCATTAAATAAGCAATGAGAACAATTCATTAGACCAGACAGGGACAAAGGCATGATAGGAGTCGAGAGGATGTATACTTTATTTTTACACTCAAACACAAACAAATAAGGACTGAAAATAAAACATTGACAGGATATTTGGTCATAGCACTGTAAAAATTCTATTATTGTCAAATCTAATACAACCAATAATCATACCAGTTACTAGCCATTTTTATTATTCCGCTGTCTTTCATCACTTCTACTTTCAGAATAATACAATCCATATACTTTTATCAATTCAACATCTGCATATTAGTAGTACTGAAAATATATTTAGGGATAGTGCATATTCGTTTTCATCTGTAGTCCTGTGGCTACAGATCCCGAGTGGGCTGGTAAACTTGAGGGTAGAAAAGTACAGAAAAACTCAGACAGTAATGCAAAAAACATGAATGCATATGTATAATACAAAACATAAATACATCTTTTGTATTTATGTACAAACAAACAATAGGCATTTGTCACACAACATACTAGGTGAAAGAAGAGATCCAAGGCATCCAACATGCTTAGTTATTTTAATATAAAAATAAATAATTTGCATATCAATATTGGTCAAAAAACAAAACAAGGAACAAAAGTAAAAAAAAAAACAACCAAAAACTCTTTATACATTGTTATACATCTGACACAAAAACACAGAAATATTTATGATGTTATATTTTCAATCTTCAATACATTTTATTTCCATTTGTGCAAATACATGTGATGTCATTTGCATCAATATAACTGTAATGTGGGACTAGAAACTCAATAAATTATTACAAGCTGCACTTTTTAATTTATAATGTAAGTTTCATCATTGCTTGTTCAGATAGGAATTGCAGTCATGTCAAACACAAGATGTCCCCATACTCACAAAAAAAATACAAAAAATACAAGCATGTTTCATTTTACCATTAATGCTGTACTACGGAGAGTGGCCCGTTGGACTGTGATGTCTAGAAGTTGGGCAGGTTAAAATCTCATGTTTGCCAGTATTAACCATGTGAAACATAGTGAGCCTATCCAAACAGAGTCAGCCTATCTACGACACCAAGGTCAGCGGTACACATCAAACAGTGCTCTGGAAAGAGGTACCTGATTTGAACATTTGAATTCAGGAATGCTTTATTAGATTTTATTAGACCTCAGAGCCTCCTCAAAGAATAACTTTCACACCAATGGCAAATAAGCACTTGAATAAAATAGATTGTTGTGCTGCTGAAAGGAGAAAAATGTATTTAGCTCTTTACTCCCTCTACTGATGCACTGACTGCGCTTACAAGTTCCCCAAAATCTGATTAATATCTCGTTCTTAGACCATTAAAATTGTGTTACCAGTAATAATAAGATCCATGATGAAATAAGGTGGTTTTGCTGTTTACATTTCATTTTAATAATCTTTTAGCTCAAGAAATAACAACCAGATTTTGAGTGTGCATATAATCGCAGAGACCAGAACACTTTTCAAATTTCAAATTTCAGTATAAAAAAGTTTGAATTATTCAACACAACTTCTGAAATTTAGCTGAATGAAAAAAAAGTGCAAAGTGCATTATTCATCGCCACAAAGACTATTATTTTACTTAAATGTCAAACATGCCTTAAAAATTACAGTAGCAAATAATTTAGTAATTTCCACTTCTACTTTAATATTATTCTGACTTTACAATCCTATTTTTTTATAATTTTGGTTCATATTTTTTTTTATTTTATTTTTAGTCATTAATTTAAACCAATTTTAATATACTTTTTTTTACCCATGCAACTTGTAACAATCCTGATAACAGTTAATTTCATGCTCTTCTCTTCCGTCTCAGATTACATGCATAAACGGATAGGTGCATTTCCTGATGTTTATAGTTACATTTGACTCCAAGGTGACTTCCCTCATTGACCTGCCCACAAACACACACAGACCGGCAGTCTGCTGTGTACACTCAGGTCTATCTTTTAGAATCATGATTATATCTATGACCATTCACCACCTTCACAAAGCTCCCAGTACATCTTTAGTCCTCTGTTTAGTCTGGCCTCTCACCCTCTTGTTCATTGTCCAGCCTCCATCTCTCCACGTGGTTACATAACCCATAAACCCTGCCATTCATTCACCCACAATTCACTTCTGATCCCATATCTGACCTGTAATAGTTGCAATAATTGTCCCTGATAATAATCTATAATATGGCTTCATAATTGCTATTTTAATTTAAGTTCCAAACACATGGTCCCATTTAGCCCCCCAGTATAGCTTCCTTGATAATGACCACTAAGTATTTTCTCACGTTCCCTAAATTCCCAATAGAATTCCGCCCGTTAGTTCATGTGAAGGTTGTCCATGCTATATGTTGTCGTCTAGGTAATCCAGAATCTCTTAATAGAAATTATATCCTCCCATGTGTCGATATACATACATCTTATTCATGAATTTATCTCGATGACTTCAGCTTGAACTTGGTTAAAGAAAAGTTATTTGTGCTTCACTGAATTACGATTATAATTGATCTTTTTCACATACGGTTTTAATACGTACATGAGTACATGAGTACAATAAGTACATGAGATTTTTTTTTTGCTGTTAACCATATTACAGTCATTTCCCCTCACCATTTACTCGCCTGAAGTTTTCTTTGGAGTGATTTGTGCGTGTTTGTGCAATGTTTGATTGCTTAATTTCAAGACGCCATATGGCCAAATCCCCATTTTCATCCACATCAGTCCCCATTTTCACCACCACTGGCATACACCTACTGCTCTGTACTTACATTATCGTCTACTTTTATTTTCTTAATTACTGATATGTGTAGGGTTTTTCAGTGTTGCGTAGTTTACACATTTAAAAAAAATAAAAAATCTGCTGCTCACTGGCGAGTTCTGCAGGCACTGACACTGTTGTGATCTGCTCCCATTGGGCACTGCAGTTTTCTAACTCAGAAGTCAGTTGACATGTTTCTTTTATTATATCATATTGGATGAATATTGTGCAAATTATAACATAATGATCCACAGGTATCATAAATTATAGCTATATAGCAGACATCAACACAACAGGTCTTTAAGGCATTCTTTGAAGACATTTCAATAGTAATGCATGGTCTACTTCACTTTCAGTTTCAGGTACTTCTTGCAGAGTTGCTGTGTATGTATAGTTACAAAACCACAACCACATATGTTTTTTTTATTAGGTGTGGTTGTTGGAAAAGACAACTGAGTATCTCAGTTTCTAATTAGCATTTCAACTTTCCAAATATTTCACCGGCTCTTGACTCCCCCTACTGGCCCGGTACAAAATTTGATGTGTTTTTATAGCCACACAACACACCATGTCTCATCACATCAGATCTGCTGCATCACACTCAAACCAGGCCTAAAGCGCAGGACACCAGTGCTCTGTTACTCCATAATTCATAATTGGTAGGTAATGCAAACCAATGGAGCTGTTGTGGGTTCGGGTGTCTGTTCAAAAGTAAGCAGACAGCATTTATAGGCCAGACTGTGAGCTTTAGAAACCATCTTGCTATTTTTAGATCTAAGGGGTAGATACTGAGTGTAAGAGGAAACTGTAGCTTTTTAGTAGCTATGATGCCAATTTTAGAAATCCTTTTCACATCCTATTAACATC